GTATAAATCAAGAAGATCTATATCCCCAATTAAACGGATTGAGTTCAAATGGTTGGTATCCAGATGTTGCATGGACGTTTCACCACTAAAACTTGAAGAATTATCATTCACTAATCACGTTTGACAGTGAGAAATGTGAAGGCGTATGCAGATGTTGGATGGACGTTTCACCACTAAAACTTGAAGAATTATCATTCACGAATCACGTTTGACAGTGAGACGTGAAGGGAGGGTGACCACAAAAATGTGTGTGCAGAACATGATTTGGATCTTCAGCTCTGGGGAAAGGGGATCCAGTGGGGCGGGACTACCAGTGGGGCGGGACTACCAGTGGGGGGGACTACCAGTGGGGCGGGACTACCAGTTGGGCGGGACTACCAGTGGGGCGGGACTACCAGTGGGGGGGACTACCAGTGGGGCGGGACTACCAGTGGGGCGGGACTACCAGTGGGGGGGACTACCAGTGGGGTGGGACTACCAGTGGGGGGGACTACCAGTGGGGGGGACTACCAGTGGGGCGGGACTACCAGTTGGGCGGGACTACCAGTGGGGCGGGACTATGTACGGTGTAGGCTCTGACAATGTTCTGGCAGTATCAGAACTGGAGGTGTCATAATACCCATAAAACCTAGCGGTCAAACAGGGAAATGGTTCCAATTGTATTTCCTATCATTCATTTTTCCCATAGGGGATTTTAGAAACACTTACAATAAGGGCTGTGTTTGTGTAGGCTGACCCTGGTGTGACGTTTTGATAACCATGTAATTATCTCTAGGACAAGGTGACTTTTATCAATATATTCGGCTCAATTTACTCTAAGATTCGAAAATGCTAATTAGCATCAAAGTAGACATCATGCAAGACTACAAATGCCTGCAATCTCTTGTATGAGGAGGGGTTTGAGGAGGGGTATGAGGAGGAGTATGAGGAGGGGTATGAGGAGGGGTATGAGGAGGAGTATGAGGAGGGGTATGAGGAGGGGTATGAGGAGGGGTATAAGGAGTGGTATGAGGAGGGGTATGAGGAGGGGTATGAGGAGGGGTTAAAGGAGGGGTATGAGGAGGGGTATGAGGAGGGGTATGAGGAGGGGTATGAGGAGGGGTATGAGGAGGAGTATGAGGAGGGGTATGAGGAGGGGTATGAGGAGGGGTATGAGGAGGAGTATGAGGAGGGGTATGAGGAGGGGTATGAGGAGGGGTATGAGGAGGGGTTAAAGGAGGGGTATGAGGAGGGGTATGAGGAGGGGTTAAAGGAGGGGTATGAGGAGGGGTATAAGGAGGGGTATGAGGAGGGGTTTAAGGAGGGGTATGAGGAGGGGTATGATGAGGGGTATGAGGAGAGGTATATGGAGGGTATATGAGTGGGGTATGAGGAGGGGTATAAGGAGGGGTATGAGGAGGGGTATGAGGAGGGGTATAAGGAGGGGTGTAAGGAGGGGTATGAGGAGGGGTTAAAGGGGGTGTAAGGAGGGGTATGAGGAGGGGTATGAGGAGGGGTATAAGGAGGGGTATGAGGAGGGGTATGAGGAGGGGTGTAAGGAGGGGTATGAGGAGGGGTGTAAGGAAGGGGTATGAGGAGGGGTATGAGGAGGGGTATGAGGAGGGGTGTAAGGAGGTGTATGAGGAGGGGTATGAGGAGGGGTATAAGGAGGGGTATGAGGAGGGGCATGAGGAGGGGTATAAGGAGGGGTATGAGGAGGGGTATGAGGAGGGGTATGGGGGAGTATGAGGAGGGGTATGAGGAGGGGTATGAGGGGGGGGGGTTGGGGGGCCTTGGGGGGTTGGGGGGTTGAGAGGGGTTTGGGAGGGGTTAGGGGGGTTGGGCGGGTTGGGGGGGTATGGGGGGGTTGTGGGTTGGGTGGTTGGGAGGGGTTAGGGGGTATGAGGAGGGATGAGGTTGGGGTTGGGAGGTTGGAGGGTTTGGGGGGTTGGTGGGTTGCGGAGGGGTTGGGCGTTTTGGGGGTTTTGGGGGTTGGGGTTAGGGTTGGGGGGTTTGGGGCGGTTGGGGGGGTCAGGGGGTTGTGGGGGGGTCTGAGGGGGTTTGGGAGGTGGGTGTTGGTGGGGTTGGGGGGTTGGGGGGTTGCGGTTTTCGGGGCCTGCGGGGGTTTGGGTTTTTGGGGGTCTGCGGGGTGCGGGGTTTGGGTTCCTGGGGGGTTGCGGGGGTCTGGGGGTCTGGGGGTTGCGGGGGTCTGCGGCGGGGTTGGGAGGGGGGTTAGGGGGGTCTGGGCGTGCCCTGGGGGCCCGGGGGCGGGGGTCGGGTGCGGGTCTGGGCGGTTTCCGGGGGGTGGGGGGGTTCTGCGGCTCGTCTCCGGGGGTTTTCGCGGTATGCCGGTTCGGGTCGCGGGTTTGTTGGAGGGGTATAAGGAGGGGTATGAGGAGGGGTATGAGGAGGGGTTGAGGAGGGGTTTGTGTGTGTGTGTGTGTGTGTGTGTTGGAGTGTCAGTATAGTATTAGTGAGTGTGCATAGAGCCAGTGCAAGAGAGTAAATAAAAATATTAATT